AGTGTCCAGGGATGTGCAGGTTAGGGTGGATTGGCCATGCTAAATTACCCATAGTGCCCAGGGATGTGCAGGCTAGGTAGATTGGCCATGCTAAATTACCCATAGTGCCCAGGGATGTGCAGGTTAGGTGGGTTAGCCATGCTAAATTACCCATAGTGCCCAGGGATGTGCAGGTTAGGTGGGTTAGCCATGGTAAAAGCCCCATGTGGGGTTACAGAAATGAGGTGTGGGTCTGTTTGGAAGGTTGGTGCAAATTTGATGGGCTGAATGGCCACTTTCTGCACTGTAAACATTCTATGATTACAGGGCACAGTGATGGTAGAGCGCTGCAGTTGGTTGACTATTAATTCAGGGAACTCAAGTAGTGCACTGAGGACCTGGGTTCAAATCCTATCACGGTGGAATTTGAAATCTAATTGAAAAATCTGGAATTAAGAATTGTGCGATAACAGTGAAACTGTTGGAGGAAAAGCCCATCTGGTTCACCATTTCCCTTTAGGGAAAGGAAATCTGCTGTACTTACCTGGTCTGGGTCTACATGTGACTCTAGACCCACAGCAATTTGATTAACTCTTAGCTGACCCCTGGGAAATCAGGGATGAGCAATAAATGCTGGCCTGGTCAGTGATGTCCATATCCCGTGAATTAAAGGAAAAATTCACATGATGCCTGGCCGTTGGTTTTGAGAAATGCAATGGCCTTAGGAGACTTGCTTTGAAATGTTCAGAAAGGTTTCTGTACTGAGAGGCCTCAGGAGGTCTTTATCATGAAAGACTTTGATGCTAGTCTAATTGTTTGTAATAGATATTGTGAAGATGCTGTGAATTTGTGAAGTTATTTTGTCCTGGTTTTTTGTTTTGAAGAGAGGTTGTAAGGCAGAGGCCTTACAGTCTACCAGAACCGCGGCAGTAAACACCTTCGGTGGCCTTGGGTATTTTTGTAACAGTCTGAATGGGAATGGCCAGCTCTCACAGGTTCTGGGTGTTTAGGGTTAGCTTTAAGCAGAAGCTGTTGGGATCTCAACACCATTGAAGGTTGCTACTCTCTCTGAATTTTCTCTTTATGTATTTTTCCTCCTGGATTGGAGAACTACATGTGAGAATCTGTGTCTGAATTTTCCCTTTTATTTGCCAAGGGGTATGGTTATGGATGTTACTATATTGGAAGAATGAATTAGTCATAGTTACTGTATCTATTATTCAGTTAAGTTTTCAAAAGGAGTTAAGTTATTCTAAGTTCTTCTTTCTTTTGTTGTATTTTAACTGTAGTCATAGTCATAAAGTAACAGCATGGTAACAGGCCCTTCAGTCTAACCAGTCCATGCTGAACGTAATCCCAAACTAAACCAGTCCCACCTGCCTTCTCCTGGCCCATATCCCTCCAAACCTTTCCTATTCATGTACTTATCCAAATGTCTTTTAAACGTTGTAATTGTACCCACATCCACCACTTCTTCAGGAGGTTCATACCCTCTGTGTAACCACCCTCTGTGTAACAACATTGTCTCTTATACCTTTTCTAAATCTCTCTCTTCTCACCTTAATAATGTGAACCCAAGTCGTGAAATCTCCCACCCTCGGGAAAAGTCAGCTACCATTAACCCTATCTATACCCCTCATTATTTTATAATCTTCTATCAGGTCGCCTCTCAACCTCCTACGCTCCGGTGAAAGAAGTCCCAGCCTTTCTTGTGTTTAAATAAATTGTGTTTTGCTTAACGTTGAGTAGTTTGACAGGTCACATAGCATCTGGAACACACACTTCACTATTGCCTTTAAAAACGAGAGAAAGTTAGGATCTAAGCTACCTTCTTAAGATATTTTGAGGGGTTCTGGACTGGTCTATAACAATGTAAAAGTATTTTCAATGCTTCAGTAATGGTGTAATGTTCTACTAAATAGCTTGCTTGTTAGTATGTAAGTTGATATATTTTTGTTAACCTAAGGAAGAAATTTTGAAATGGATAGACCTTCAAGCATTGCTAAGTGAATAGTGCACACCCCACCCCCACAATGAGAAGTACAATAATGATCACAAGATCTATATTAAAACTGAAGAACTGCAGATGATGGAAATCAGGAACGAAAACTGAAACCACGAGGAACGTTCAGCAGAGTCAAGTAATATCTGTGCAGAGAAATCAGAATTTTGGGTCTGGTGATTCTTCAGGATGAATTCGAGCTTGGAAAAGATATATGCTGAAAGACTAGAATGGAAATCCTGTCAGAGAGAGGAGGAGAACTTCTTTTAATTAAATTATATTTTCTTAATTAAACCTACATTTTCTTAGTTAAATCTGTATTTTTTCATTAAATCCAATTTTTCTCAGTTAAATCTATATTTTCTTTAGTTAAATCTACATTTTTAAATAAATGTATATTTTCTGTCATTAAAACTATATTTTCTTTAGTTTAATCTACATCTTTTTTATTTAAATCTGTATTTTCTTTTGTTAATCTACATTTTCTTATTTAAATCTATACTTTTTCATTAAATCTATATTTTATCAGTTAAATCTATATTTTCTTTAGTTAAATCTATACTTTCTTTAGTTAAATCCACATTTTTAATTAACTGTATTTTTTCTTTAGTTAAATCTATATTTTCTTTAATCTACATCTTCTTTAGGTATATCTGTATTTTTTTTGTTAACTCTTCATTTTCTGAGTTAAATCTATATTTTTGTCATTAAATCTATGTTTCTTTAGTTAAATCGACATTTTCTTAGTTTTGGCACCCTTGGCGTGTTTGAAGTTTGGTGACTTTTTTTTTACATGGTGAGAATCATTTCCCCCCCCTCCGCCGTTAAAAGTGTGCACCATGTTATTTTCAACACCAGGTGGAATCTCGAGCAGCTTGGTCTCTTTCCAGATCCTCAGCAATGACTCGCTCTTTATAACTGCGTTTTAATTGGATGATCAAGTAGTGTTATTCAACCAAAAGCAAACGAATAATCCACCTTTGATTTTATTGACTGATTGATTTATTGTCACGTGTACCGAAATACAGTGAAAAGCTTTGTTACGAGCGGTACAGGCAGATGATAGGAAGCAAAGGATGTACAGATCAAAAAGACTCAGACAGAGGCATACAGGTTACATTGCACAGGGCGTGCACTAGGCGAGATCAGCGTTAGCAAGATCAGCATTATCTGAGGCTAGAGAGTCCATTCATCAGTCTGATAACGGCTGGTAAGAAGCTGTTCCTGAACCTGCTTGTGCGTGTGTTCAGGTTTCTGTATCCTCTACCTGATGGAAGAGGTTACAGGAGATCATTACCGGGGTGCGATGGGTCTTTGATGATGTTGGCAGCCTTTCCCCAGCAGCGAGCTGTGTAAATAGACTCCATGGATGGAAGGTTGGCTTCCGTGATGGTCTGGGCTGTGCACACCACCTTCTGTAGTTTTCACAGTCCTGGGCAGAGCAGTTGCCATACCAGGCCATTATGTACCCGGACAGTATGCTTTCAATGGTGCATCTGTAGAAGTTGGTGAGGGACCTTATGGATAAGCCAAATTTCCTGAGCTGTCTGAGGAAGAAGGGAAATTGTTGTGCCTTCTTGAGTGTTGCATCTATGTGAGAAGTCCAGGACAAGTTCTTGTTTATTGTCACTCTGAGGAACTTGATGCTCTCCATCCTCTCAACTCAGCTCCGATGATGTAGATGAGGGGGGGAGTTCTCCTCCTTTCTTTCTGAATTTTTGCCGACCTTGAGAGACCAAGTTGTATTGAAAGAAAGTTCTGA